CAACAGGGATCCAACACCCACCATGAACTTGGACAACAGGGATCCAACACCCACCATGAACTTAGACAACAGGGATCCAACACCCACCATAAACTAGGACAACAGGGATCCAACACCCACCATGAACTAGGACAACAGGGATCCAACACCCACCATGAATTAGGACAAGAGGGATCCAACACCCACCATGAACTTAGACAACAGAGATCCAACATCCATCATGAACTTGGACAACAAGTATCCAGCACTCACAATATACTCCAGCAAGTGTCCAATACTCACTATGTAACTTGTTCAGCAGCTGTCCAAAACCCATAATGTATTCAGACAGGTGTCTAATGCCCACAAAGAACTTGAACAGGAAACTACCACCCATAATACACTCAAACAGGAAACTACCACCCACAATACACTCAAACAGGAAACCACCACCCACAATACACTCAAACAGGAAACTACCACCTACAATATACTCAAACAGGAAGCTACCACCCACAATATATTCGAACAGGTATCCAATATCCACAATGTACTCAGAAAAGTCAAAGCACATCTCCCACTGGAAAGCGTCTGCGCAACAGAGAGGTGCAAGTCCCCATGCACTCTGAAATGGACACAGAAGTCAAGCTCATTCTGATCTGTAACGGTTTCATTTGATGAACTCTAAACAGTGAAGGAAACAGGACATAAAATGATCGTTGCAATTACTTTCAAGAAAATACTTCCTTTAATTTCTGGTGGCACAATGTCATCTCTGACTAAAAAGAACTGCTCTATGGAGAGGAAAAGTGTACCAATTCAAACACATACTTTTTAGCACTGCAATGAGGAGCTTACAAAGGTCAGTGTTGATATGACACATAATACAAAAAAAAAAAAGAAAACATAAAACAGTTCCATACAAAGAAAGGCAAAAGGAAAGGGAAGTCTGGCTCATGCTAAATGCTTTAATGCAGGTTCCAATCCATCTTCACAGGGTCCTAGTGTGGCTCCATATGATAAGCACTGGACTTCTCACCACAAGGTCAGCAGTTCAAACCCACCCACCGATCCTCAGAAACACTATACAAGGTCGCTATGAGTCAGAACCAACTGGATGGCACTGAATACCAACAAGTGAGTACAAACAATACTGGTGTGGTGCTTGCTGTACGATAAGCACTGCTAACCACAAGGTCAATGGTTCAAACTGCAAGGTTGGCAGTTCAAACTCAGCAGTCCCTTCTCAGAAACCCTACACAGGGTCGCTGAGTCTGAACCGACTACTCAGCACTTAACAACAACAACATCCATCCTCACAGCTCCGTGAAGATTACATTAGCATCCCATTTTACAGATGAGGAAATTAAGGCTCTGTCAAGTGGAGTCACTTCTCCAAGGTTAGAGAGCTAGGCAGTAATGAAATTTCTATGCCGACTGGTAAGTCACAGACTCAAACAAACAAAAAAAGAGGTAATTTTTCTTTGAAAGAAATATGAAGGGGCCTCAAAAATTTTGCAAAAAAATTCATTACCTTTTAACTTCATTTCCCCACAAATGCTCGAAGCCCTTTACCCATAATCCTGGGGAGCATGGTGACTCTGTAAAATAAGCGCTGGGCTCCAAACCACAAGCTTGGTGAGTCAAGCCGAGCAGCTGCGCCACAGAGAAAGATGAGGCTTTCTGCTCCCGCAAAATTGTAAATCTTGGAAAATCCTGTACAAGAGTCAGAGTTGACGGTACAGCACTTAACAACAATAACCCATAATACTTTCCAAATATTAAAATGGAAGCTTTCAAAATTATACCCAACTTTATCAAGTCCACAAAGAGTCCTTTTCTATTTGATTATTCCCTACAGTAGTCAAGGTTGTTTAAATTAAGGTTTTTAAAAAATTACCCTTTTCTAACTCCAAATAGTGAGAAAACCACCTTTTGCATTTTTCTGAAATCCCTTTCCTTCAGGAAGATAAATTCCAGTCCAGCATCTATATGATATAAATCATGGTCGACCAGTATCTTTCCTCCCAAGTAAGCAGTCTGCCTTTATTCTTAGTTGTGTGCCTGTAGTCAGTTAATTAAAACTGATTGTAAAATTTAATTGCAGGTTGGAAGGAGCTGGTTTCTGGCCTAAAGAGCTACACCGAATGGAAGTCACACTACCAGGTCCCTCGTGGCCTTTGAAAAGTACTGCTCCTGAGAGCTACCAGGGACTGGGGGGGACGGTTTGCAGCATAGTTTGTGAGTCCTACTAAATTCCCCCATAAAACCTAGGGAAAACAATGCCTCTCTCTCCTCTAACCCCAAAACTTGAGCGGGTGAAGACAAACCACAGAATGGTCGATCTGTGGCATCAACAACTGGAAAGGAAACAGCAGTGGAAGAAAGTGATGGCGCCTCCCAGGAGCCCTCCCCACATCATCAGTGAGGCCTTGGGAGAAGGCAGCCGAAACCAGCAGGGGCTCTGCACGTAGGTGGAGCATAGGAGAGTGAGGGGCCCTGCAGGTGTGGCAGGACCTGAGGAGACTCTCAAAACTGACCAATGCTCCCTCCCATGCTAAGCAGAACCTGTTAGGCATGGACTGCATGCAACTCCGCATCATAGGACAAGGCCAACAACGACAGGTACGAAGGAGCCCCAGAAGACAGGATAAAGTCAACCACAGCCACCATGTAAAGCAAAACGCACTCCAGCATTAACAGAAAACAATCAAGGCCTAGTCACATACAAAGTTGGCGCATCCACACACTGACAAAAATGTATACGATACATAGACAAGATCCAAATATTTTTTTCATTCAACTTGGTATGTGATTTGCTGAATGTAAAACTGATGATCTGCTCTGTAAACTTCCACTCAATTCACAAGAAAAATTTGGTTTTAAAAAAATTGTATTTGGAGATGAAGACTAAATTATAAAATAAGAAACGACTGAATGACTTAAAAGGAAAACGCTTTAAAACACAAAAAGGGGGAAGAAACAGAAACCATTTTAAGAGGCAATCCCAAATTCAGAAGATTGGGAAAGAAGAATGGGAAAAGGCAAGAGTCAGCACAAAGAAAAACCACCTGCTACAAAGGCTGAACTTCACTAACACTTCCAGGGAAACTACCAATCAAAAAAGCACACCACACCCATGAAGAAACCTGCCCCCAAATGGCCAGCATCAAGACCATCTACTAAATGACTAGGCCTCAGGAAGAGAAAACAGTCTGAACAGCAGGCAAAAGGAAAAAAGACGAAACAGCAGATCTTACGAGGAAAATAAAATCAGATTGTCATCACACTTTGACAGCAACACTTTATGCCAGGAAAAAAAAAAAAAAAAGGAGTAACATATTTAAGACTCAAGGAAAGAAAACATGAACCAAAAATGTTACACCCAGCTAAATTTCAACTATAAAGACTCAAGGAAAGAAAACATGAGCCAAAGATGTTACACCCAGCTAAATTTCAAGTATAAAGACTGCAAAGTGTTATCAACAAGGAAAAGAGGATGAGGAATCTACTCAAGAAAAAGTTGGGAAGACGGTCCCACTATCCAAAGATGGGACAACCTAAGTTTGTCAATGAAGACAATGACCACAGTGGATTAAAACACATACAATGGGGAAACCCCAGAATTTGCAATAGCAACAAGGAGAAAACCTTTGGGGGATAAGAAGAAACCACTCAGTTGTGAAAATTGGTGAATGCAGGGAAGAATCAAGCATGTACCCTCTTTCCTTTACGAATTGTACCACCAGGGAAGCAGCTGAGAAGCAGAGAAATTTCTCCTAGAAGAAATAGTTCAGCTAATAAATGACGAATAGTTTTGGATGACCACCATTTGCAACCCCTAGTGAATTAAGTGTCACTGATGGCTACTAATAACAAAACTATGAGCGCTATCAAGGCACTACATACCTCCTGATAAAGAACACCAAAAGCCCTGGTATCCGCTAACTGAAAGTTGGCAGTTTGAACCCACCCAGAGGCTCTGCGGGAGAAAAACCGTGCGACGTGCTTCTGTAAACACAGCAGGCAAGAAAACCCCATGAGACCATTAGGTTGTCACCTGGGATCACAATGGTCAGAAAATCTAATTAACGAAGGACACACAAGGTTAGCCAGTGGTTTAAACCCACTGGCTGCTCCTTGGAAACCCTATACAGGGTCACTATGAGTCCAATTCTGACTCTAAGACCCTTAACAACCACCTACTGGCAAGGATCCTTGGGTGGTGCAAATGGTTAATGTGCTCAGCCCATTGTGGTTGTTAAGTGCCATCGAGTCGGTACCAACCCATAGCGACCCTGTACAGGGTTTCCGAGGCTGTAAATCTTTACGGGAGCAGAACGCCTCATCTTTCTCCCGCAGAGTGGCTAGTAGTTTTGAACTGCTGACCTTAAGACTGGCAGCCCGATTTGTAACCACTACGCTCCCAGAGCTCCATATAAGCACCCTGAAAGAATGTCCAGGGAATCACTTTCAGAAAACCCTATAGGGCATGTGAGGTTGCTCTGAGTCGGAATCGGTGATGGCAGCTGGTCTAGTTTACCCGTCAGGAAGGTTTTCACTTTTTTCTTTTGAATGATTAGTCATTTATTTTCTTAGCGGCATTCCTCATCTTCTATGTTGTTGTTGTTAAGTGCCATCGTGTCAGTTCTGACTCACAGTTACCCTATATAGTGTTTCTAAGGAGCAGATGGTGA